CCCCAAAACCCCAAAACCCCAAAACCCCAAAACCCCAAAATTATTTAGAAAAATTGATTAATTCTCAAAAAAATAGTGGAAATTTATTATGCATAAAGTGAGCTATTGTTTATGAAGTTTGTAGGGAAAGCTTGTAGGCAAGAGCTTGTCGGTTAGAAAGGTGATTCAGAAGGATAGGATAAGGAAAAGGACAAGTTTGGTTGATCAAAGGATGATCCCTGGGTTGAGGATTATTGAGGAAATGTCAATTAATGGAAAATGAGGTGAGAGGAATAGGATACAGTTTTATGGTTCCTCATTGAATGCTTCTCCTAAAAGTGTTCGCACAAGGGCAATAACTTCTGGGGCTAAGACAACTAGAGCAGCCACAGTTTATAATAGGAGGTTGAGCAAGCATGCTTCTAAGTTCAAGAATATAATCTCTGGTGAAGAGAGTATGAATGATGATTTACTTAAATAAAATGGATTTTTTCTATAAACCCTATGAGAAAAAGACCGATGCAGGAGTCCCCATCTGCGTCAAATTCGGCCAAACATCTGCTGATCACAAATCCAAAAATAATTTAAAAGAGAGATCTCGCAAAAACTGGAGATCAATCTCTTCTCGAGTCCTCGAATCAAACCCTGAAGAATTCAAAGACCTTATCAAAGCCGTAAACAGCAGCTTCTACTACCAAATCCGTAAAGAGTCCAATGCATCTCGCCAGAGGCGTATGCGAAAAGAGACCGAAATCGGTCTTTCCTTCCTCAAAAAGCCAATTTCAAAAATCCAAAACCCTAAATCCCACAGTCACAAGCTCCACATGCCCCACCAAGGCCAAGGCTTCAGCCCTCGTAAATCCCTCTTCATTTCTGTACTGAAGCAGAGGAGGTCTAAGCAGCTTAAGTCGTCCCGAGCGGCTAAGCCGCTCGGGCGGCCTTTGACTGCTCAGAATTTCTTCGGTGCTTAATTACAGTGAAATTTTGGAATTTTAAGTGAAGAATAATTTTTGGGCAGGCCTTTTAGGGTTATTCCAGTTGTGCTTAATCGGCTTAATGGGGAGTTAGGGCTGGTTTTGGGGATTTTGAAGGAGAGCGGTTTGAGGGGTTTGGGGTTGGGAATTTGGAGCGATTTTTGAGGGGATAAATGCTTGGGAGGGTGTAGAGTGGTTGTTAGGGTCAAAAGGGTTTTTATGTATGGTATCTTTGGAAATGAAATTTTTGTCAATTTTTGTCTTTGAGGTTACTAAAATAAATTTTAAATAATGCAACCTTGCAGTGCTAATGTCTTCCAATTCACTTATGACGCAAGGATCGAAAATGTCTTGTAAAGATAGTAACGTCATTGCCAACCTTCTATCTCTTAAAATAAATTTCAACTACTAATCATTAAAAAGGGGTTTTGGGGTTTTGGGGTTTTGGGG